AGAGTCCTGTAGCTTGTGTTTCTCAAAATGGCCAGGGTGCCCCCGATGAGAAACCCTGGAAGCCCGGGGCTCCTCAGTCTTTGGGTCCATTAGGAAGCCATGTAGGGAGGGCATGATAAACTCCACCCTCCTCGTGCCGAGGTGCGCAGGCCTGCAGAGCTTGAGTCCCACGATTCACCAGACCACTTCACAGGAAGCGAACACCTTGTCCGTAGTTACTCCCTTGCCCTTCACAGAGTTTTCTGGGCTCTCTCTCAGGTACATTTACTTTTATGAGGTTGGACAATTAAATTCTCGAACTCATCCGAGATATAATGCTACATATGTCTTTGCTGAATATCACTACGTTCACCAGATGGGCAACGGGAGTGCTTTGAAGGTGACCTTGGTGATATTCAGTAATGAGGTGTGTAGCACTTTTTCTAGGATGAGTTCGTGAACTTAATTTTCAGAACCCCTATGAGGTCTTTGAGGACTTGGACGTACTGAAGGTATAACAATTCCCAGGGTATAAGGGACCCAGTAAAGCATTTTATGCCAGTCCCCTTTTTGCATAAACAGTCACCCCAATTCAACGAGGCAAAAATCAGTGATCCAACCTTATACTATATTATTCTGGCCAGGGGGAGAGACTGATCTGCTTGCCAGACAATCCTCTTAGAACCAGGGTCAGGCCACTGGCCCTAAATGACCCCACAAATGAAAGTCACTAGGCTCCTTGGGCCATCTGGTCACATGCAGATGTGGGTAGAGTGTCAGGGAAAACCCTGAAAGGGAGAAACAGGGACCTAGATGTACACAGCTTGGGTGGTTTGCACCAGGCACCTTGCCCAGATAGCAGTGCCTCCATGGCTGGCCCCAGTGTGTCTGCACGGGAGCTGAGCGAATTTCAGTGGTCATAGCAATTGGACCCCAGGTCCAGGTCTTGGCTAGGGATGTTTTGCCCTGATGGCATGGCCAGCCTTGGCCTTTCCCAGACCACATGGGGGACAGACTCTTTTAAGGAAAGTGATGCAAAATGTGGGGCTTCCTAAGGTCCAGACATGCAGGACTCAGGAAAGGACAGATGTATAAATGGAGCTAGTTGGAGATTCCTATGCACTTGGACTGTGAAGGTACGAAAGTTGTTCGAATCAAAATGAAGTCACTGATATTAAGAAAACCCCGGTGAATAGAGCTGCAAAGGTCGGGAAGCGGGGATGCCCATGCTTGTCGGCTTGATAACAACAACAGAAGACTCTGCGGGAACCGTGACTTTACACCAAAGTCATCACAACCAAATACAAAAAATACTTCTATCTGGACATCTGCCTGCAACTGTCTGTCCAACCGCGGCCTGCTGTGACCTTTGTTGCTGATCTTTATGAGCAAGGATAATTATTTCAAAGTAATTATGTAATCTCCATTTTTTTCCTTTAAAAATCCTCCTTTAACTCACTGAATATGCACATAGTTTATGCATATTCCCCTAAAAATGTCCTATTCTCCAATACACATATTTTAGAAAGCCTCTCTCTGTTATTTAGGTTGAAAAAATCAATTACCGCCACATCGCCTAGGTCTCAATTCCATTCAAAATAACGTTTTTCTTCCTGGCCCTTGAGATACAAGTTTGTAGGAATTTTTGCCAATTCGCACATTGCAAGGCCTCTGCCACTCCCTTTGACCAGCAGAGGTCTCTGTCATTGTATGAAAAAGGGCCTTTAACTCTGGGGAAACTGAGACTACAAGCCTCAGCTTTCTTTCATTACATCTCTTGTCAGCATTAATCAATATGATTTGTACTTAAATCCACTTGGATTCATGAATTGTTACTAAATTGTCCTGTGTCTGTTAGTCTGTTGAGTATCTAGAGGTAGCGTCTAGGCAGAGGGCCTGGCTCATAAATGGTATGCAATGATTACGTGCTTAATAGAAGTTATTACTTTCTTCAAAGCAAGACCCTTTCACCAGCCAGAGGTGACTCATCTTTAATTGATACTTAGTGGAATCCAATTTTATCAGTTGGTTCCAGAGCATTAAGGAACAATCTGACGTTTGGAGTAAAGGCCAGCACAGCCACCTGGATTTTATACATGGAAACA